ATCTTAGGTGAAAGTAAGCAAAGATTTTACGGATTTTACTATTAAACAACTAATATTGATTCAGATTTACTTAACAGTAAAAAAAAACTTTTTACAATAAACATATAGCCAATTTTTGGTTTAAAATAGTTAGAAAACTCTTTGAATTACATGTATTTGAAACCACAATCGCTTTGAATATAGTTGGTTGTAAACGAACAAATTTCATAAAATATTTTAAAAGCTTATGCATTGAATATTTCAAATATTTTCGTCTCTATTTTTTTCTAATTTTTTTCATGTATGTTATTAATAAGTAATAACACGATTTCTCGTTCACTTTGTTGGTAAATTTGCACAATTTTTGTGCTATTTTTAAATCATTTGTCAGAACCAATAAGCAATAAAGATATCACGTTGCTTACGCACGTGACCTTGAACGACTGAAGTGTTTACTAGTTTTTGTCCTAATTATTGCACTTGTATCATTTACAAGTAATAATATGATTTCTCGTTCAATTAATCCCAAATTGAACTCGAAATCATATTATTACCTATACTAATAATTTTTTTAGTTCATAATGTGAAGGCTCAAAACACTTTCTAGCCTCCTTGAAGTGCTACTCTGACGAAAATCGCTCAAACTTGGATCAGCTGAAACTTCCTAAGAATACTCTTTAACGGTCCAATAATCACTGTATGAAATGTTTTCTCGATATTCAGGACGAAAGTATGTTATTTTTACGATTATTTTTTGGAGTCTGTGACGTCATAGACTAAACATCGAACATCGCTCCATACATTTCTTTGTAGTTTATGATCAAAATATCAGTAGTAAAGGGAGAAACAAATACCCAAGTTTGAGCGATTTTCGTCAGAGTAGCACTTTAAATTGATTGATCTACAACACATACGTATCAAAGTTAAAAGACCACAAGCATGATGGCGTTTTATACCTACGCTTCCAGAATCCCTTTCGGTAGCCTTCTTCGTGAAGATAATTTTCACTATTGTCTCAAAAGAGTTTTCACAACCTTTGAACATCAATAGAGATGTTGTTGAAAAGATAGTGATAGCTGAGGTATGAAACGTCATTAGGGTTAACACCTATTGGAACTCTAGACATCGGTTTTATTTTGATTTGAAGCGACCAAGAAAAACTGAAGAGTTATTAGAGAGTTTTAGATTCTCGTTTACGGCAAAGGTGAAACGTCAGTTGACCATTAAAAAATTCTTTAAAATTAGTGAAAAGGAATTGTAAAAATCTCCAAGTAGTAAATAAACAAAAGAATACTTGTCTTTGTCGAGAAGGTTTGCATAAGGTAAAATGAAATGTTGGAAAACGATGGTCACGTTTGCCGTTTGCGGGAAGGAAAAACGGGAATATTAGAGAGTTTTAGATTGACTTTTTTTTTTCTCCCCGCAAACGGCAAACGTGAGCACGTTTTCATAGTTTTCCTGTATTTTACTTTACTTTTTACAAACCTTCTCACCAAGCCCAAATATTCTTTTGTTTTCCTACTACTTGGACTTTTTTGCGATTCTTTTTCAGTAATTTAAAATAATTTTTTACTGGTCAACTGACGTTTCACSTTTGCCGTGAACGTAAATCTAAAACTCTCTATTAATCTGCCTATTGATGACATCGTACTTGCGGCATTTTGTTTATAGAAAAGATGTTTAAAATAGCCATTGATTTAAATACAGTAAAAGAGAATCCCTCACACATTTCTCTTGAAGGACTATATTCATAGCGCTTCTGTGGTTTTGGCGGGAACTTTCCCCGCCAAAATAGACGCGCGCTCCTTCTTCCCTTACCTTGGCTGTTTTACTCTCGCTACGCCATTTAAAAGAAAGCAATCATAACTCGTTGTTTTAATTGAGATCATTCAAGAAGTGAAATGCATTCTTTGGTCTGATTGAAGTTAATGATTCAAATTTTTGAATTGGAATTTTTAATAACTTGTCTTCTARTAGATGAGTTTCGTGCGACGTCACGTTTAATCTGATATCTTAAAAAGGAGTTGATATTCAAAGCTGTAAAACAATTATTTAAGCATATTTCTTGATTTCTATATTTCTATATTTTGATATATATTTCTGAAAATGACACTTGTAAATAAAGTTCAAAGCTCTTAATGGATTCTGGTCAATCTTCACGAAACTTTACCATTTTACTTTGAACAAAATGTCTGCAAACTAAAAAAAGATAATATTTCGAAAGCAAGACGTCCCAATGAAAATCCTCAATCGATCATTCAGTAATAATTTTCGTTAAATATTATGAAATACATCAGTCCAGACAAATAGCTACTTTATGGAAATATCTTATTCACTACAAGTGGTCGTCAAAGACAGCTGAATATCATTTTTCTACAATTAGTCGCTTGATGCGGACGAAAAAGATATTTTTCTTGAGTGTGAACAACAAAGATTTTTTTAAAAATCTAAAATGTTGTTTCATAAAGTTTTTTTTTAACATCTTCATATTCATGAATCTGCAAACATCAATGAGATAAAATATTGAACGTTTGTAATTTTACACTTGAAATGGGCGGCGTCTTGACTGAGATGGTTAGGATAAGCTGCACAATGAAAACTACATGATTAAAAGACCAGAAAGGGAGGATGATGATCGATTCTTGGAGTGCATCCACATGACCGAAAAACTTTTAAGATGTAAATAACAATGAAACAGCCGCCATCTTCATTGATCTAACAAGAGAAGCTTAATGAGGAATGCTTAGTTTATTGAGAACTATTAAAATTCAGTGACATTTATTGACTTTTGAACAAAAAGCATGGACTATAGCCTATGGTTTTGATTGATTTTGAACCAATTTCACACCTTTTCTAAAAATATGCATTATTTATAAAACTTACAAAATAGGTCCTTTTTCACCATTTTCAGGTAAAAAGCATGGACTAGAGCCCATGGTTTTGATCGATTTTGGACCATTTTCACACCTTTTGAAAAAATAAAAATTATTTATAAAACTAGCAAAATAGGTCATTTTTGGCCATTTTCAGGCAAAAAGCATGGACTATAGCCTATGGTTTTGATCGATTTTGGACCATTTTCACACCTTTTGAAAAAATATGCAGTTATGAGAAAACTTGCAAAATAGGTCATTTTTGGCCATTTTCAGGCAAAAAGTATGGACTATGGCCTATGGTTTTGATCAATTTTGGACCATTTTCACACCTTTTGAAAAAATATGCATTTATTATGAAGGATGCGAAATAGGTCATTTTTGGCCATTTCAAGACAAAAAGCATGGACTATAGCCCATGGTTTTGATCGATTTGGGACCATTTTCACACCTTTTCTCAAAATATGCATTATTTATAAAAGTTACAAAATAGGTCATTTTTGGCCATTTTCAGGCAAAAAGCATGGACTATAGCCCATGGTTTTGATCGTTTTTGGAGCATATTCACACCAAAAGCATGGACTATAGCTCATGCATTACATTGTTTTCTTTGCGTGAGTATATATTATCCTATTCAGGAATTTTGTACACAACTAACCACCAGCCCCGCAAGTTCTAGTTTTGTTCTTGGAATATTCTAAGTTTTCCATGGCAGACATTTTAAATTTTTTTTCTGGTTAATTTTCGTGTAATTCTTTTTATTAATGTTGGAGTTAGTATCATGAAAAATATAGAAGTACGTAAAATATTCCGGAATATTTTAAACCATATGTTATAAATCACATGAAGTTTTTTTTTAATTGTAGATAATTATATTATACAAATAGAACATAGTACATAAGATGGAGTGGTATCCATGGGCCTTGTCTGAGTTCGATGAACAAGATGCATTGTGGTATAGCTTGGGTACAAGCTCCACTGTGTAAGGCATGTTGAACAAATTATACTCCCCACTCAATACCAAAATGCAGTGTTCGTTATTTTTGGGACTAACCTTTTTGAACACCCATATAATACTTGATGAACACAAGATTTTCGTATCTAATACTCAATATTAAATATGGGATATTCAAATCCCGTGATTACAAATAGAGGTTTTGCAACATCACGTGACGGCAGCCATGTTAGATGGCAGGAACTATACAATCGTTTTATATGAGAAAGAATTCAATTCCCGAGAGCACAGGGATTTTATTGTTCTGCCATCTAACAACAGGCAGCCCAAGCACGCGATGGTGCATAATCTCTATAGATTGGAATAATAATAATATAAATAATTGCAGGTTAAATAGTTTACGAGGTTGCTATAATATTCAATTGACAAAATGCTTTAAAATTGTAAACCTGGAAACAAGTAAATATTTTAACTTTTGCAATGAATCATGGGAATTCGTGGGTGGCGTGACATGTGCATATATAGTTAATAGTCTATGTCGTAAACGTTTTTGTTTTCTTGCAATTGTTGCTAAGGATACAAGAGGGAAAGGTGTGTGCATGCTTGTGGCCAGCCTAATAAAACCATCTATTACAGAGATACTCCAGTTTCGAGTTCTATTTGCTCAGCCTTAGTTCCGTTTGTGTGGTATAATATTCAGCTATTCAACCAAAACTCGTAGCATTTTAATCAACTCGTATTGTTCCGTAGTGCAGACATTCCTTACTATTCGTACCAGTCCCTTACAGAGCAAGTATAAATTACATCGCTCCCATCAGATCCACCGCGCGCAGTTTCGTATGAAACTCGTTCWGGCTATTGCAGTATTGATGGCTTTCCATTCCTTTAGCCAGCTTACCCTCTCGCGCTCGCCTTCTCCGACCAGCAGCTGTGTTCAGTCTTTTCTCCCTCCCATCACCATCATAGACTTATTTTCTGCTCCCTTGACTAATCACGGTTGCATTTATCCCATTCTAATTTAACGAGCGTGAAAGGGAATGATGCGAATAGGATACTATACAATGGACCTTAATAAAAGAAACTAACACATTTGTACAATCGAGGCAAAAAARACTAAGCAAAGGCGAACTCGAAATGACAGTATTGATATGGAATATGACGGTGATAATTCCGGGACATTTACGATACCTTAGCGTCATAGTTAGAAAATACGTTATCTAATACTAATTATAAGTAATCGTAGCTGCTTCGCTCGTATTTGCTTGATAAAAAAAGGATATATCATTTGCGCTCATAATCGTTTATGAAATCATCATTGATCTATTTGAGATTCACGCATGCGCAAACGTTTCAAAGTCTTAACATTAGGAATTACCCCTATTTTTTAAAAAGGTTGTTGGAGCATTAGGAGACAGGCGATAGGCGATAGGCGATAGGTCATTCCATGACCAAAATCAATTATGAGCATACGCCTAAACCAAAACAAACCCTGAATATCTCAAAACTAACCTGTGTTCATGACAAGAATAATAATAACAATCATTCGAGCTACTCTTGGGTCTTCCAATGACCCATCTCCTTTGCTGATTGTCAATCGCGCCTATCCCCTATCGCCTTTAGCTCCGTCATTTTTTTTTTTTTTTTAAGGTATACATTATACATTATGTTCTGTGTTGTTTGGTGGTCGACATCCCAATTACTAAGTTCTGTCTTTGTTGAATTTTCTCATCCTGCGTGAAAAAAGGAGAAATATGAAAATATGACATGTCATGTAGAATCCAAAATATTTGCAAGGGGGTTGTCCAAAATGAAAATAGTGACGATTTAATAAGATTCCTGATCTGACTTGTTTAAATTGTCCTTAGATTATTTTTAGATTTTAAAAGTGCTATGCAAATTTATCTTGAGTCGGACTAAAGATTGGAAAAGCAGAAACCATAACTAAAATTTTAAGTTATTTTATAAGTCTTATTTTAAAAAGGACATATATATCTGAAAAAAA